CCCCCCCTCCCTCAGGGGCTGCCTGCGGTGGCAGGAGGTGGCAGCGCTGCCGGGACTTGCCTGTTCCCATGCAGGAAGGAAGATGCTTTTCATCTCGATGCACCGCACCGATTTGTCCTCCCAAGTGCCCTGTTGCCCTCGGGCAGTGGGCCTGTGGGTCCCAGCTGCATTCACGGACTTTTCCTCCTGCCGAGCAGGGCGCTGCCCTGTGCTGCCGGCGGTGCTTTGGTCCCAGGAAGGGCTGAATGTGCCAAAAATGGGCTCCCCTGCCTTCGTCACCTGGCCAGCCTCGGCCCTCCCAGGCTCCCGCCCGGCGTTGTGCAAGGCCCGGCGGTTACGCTGGCCCCGAGCCTTACCCAACAGCTTTTCGCTGCTCCCACCCTCCGGCTGGCATTGCCTCCTGCCAGCAAAGCCCCACATGTCTTGCAGCGCTCCCTGGCAGCTTTCCTGTCCCCAAACTTGGACCAAACTTCCCGCCCCCCCAGCCCCGAGCCTGGCCATTTGCCCCTCCCACCCAGGCAGACACCCATGAATGTGACAAGACTTCACTTAGGGTCCAGATAATGTTTATGAGCAAAGACAAGCGATTACACTCTGGCAGGAGCATAAATACGGGAGCAGAGTCCCTGTGCTATCCCTGCCGGGTCCTTCCCAGCTCCCTCGGTGTCTTGGTGTCACCCCGGTGGCTCTGCCCCTCCTTGAACATCAGTCCCAGCGCTCGGCAGACAGCCCCAAAATGTGGGGTTGGGCCGTGCCTGGTGTGCCACAGCGTTCACGGGCGCTCAGCCCCACACGGGGACCTGGGGACAGCCAGGGAGGAGGTGGCCCCCATGCAGCAAGCTCAGCATAGCTGGCTCGACGGGCTGGTTTTGGGGGGCAGGTGCCCCTGCACCAAGGGGAAGACCTTCCTTGGGCTCGGGGGGCACCAGGGCTCCATGCCAGCGGGGTCTCCAGGGGACTGTGCTTGAGCCGCCCCTTTAGGGTCCACTGCCCCGGAGCCAGCACCACGAGCCCACAAGCACCCTGATGGGCACCCCGGTATCCCGAGTCTGTCTGGGGCTGCTCTGTGTCCCCGTGGGGAGGTGGGCAGGACCCCGGTGTCCCGGCTGGGGCAGGAGCACCAGCCACCCTGCCTGGCAACATCCGCAGGGACATCCGTCTCAAGGCTGCGGTGGGAAGGGTCCGGGCTCACGCAGGTGCCAAGAGTGTAAACCTGCCAGCGCCCAGCTTCCCCAGGGCAGGGAGAGGAGCAGTGCATGTCCCAGGCCAGCCCTGTCCCCCACCTTGGTGGTGTCACCCGCCAACTGCGGGCAGAGCAGCATAGGGGTCCCCTGAGTGCTGCCACAACTCCCCCGGGGACCCCCACCCTTGGCACAGCCACAGGATGGCAGAGAAAGGAGGATGCCAGGCACAGGCAGCAGCACCCAGGGGCTCAGCTCCCCTCCGGCAACCTGGGGCACAGGCAGCCCCACTCCAGGACCCCCACAGCTCGGGGGCTGCAGGGGAAGGGCAGCCCCCCACCCCCAACTGGGGGGCACTGCCTGCAGATGAGAGAAAGTCCTGCTCACCCCTTCCCCAGGCAGCTCTGCACCCCAACACCCAGGTTGGACAGTCCCATGGGTGGGTTTCCCCCGTGCTCCGGGGTCCCACCATGCCCTCTCCCCTGGACTCAAGGCCCGGGCTTCCCTGGGGGACGGACTCCCCGGCACAGCGGGGGCTCCCCCGGCTGGCACCATGCCCTGGGCGATGCCTGTCAGTACGTCTGGGGCGTGAGGATGAATAGTCGGTCTTCCTCCTTGCGGATCCACTTCATGAGCTTGTTGACAGCACTGATGGCGCCAGCCTTGGTCCCCAGGGGGCTGTAGCATACGTAGAGCTCGAAGGCGTTGGTTACCTGGGTGAAAAAACAGGGTACGCGCTGGGAACGCGTCTGCACCCCACTTGGGGCTGGCACTGCATCTTCCCCCCATGGGCTACTGGGAATGGGCACCAGTACAGTGCAGGGACACGGGATGCCAGCGGGGTACCCTAAACGGGTGGCACCTGGTTTGCTCAGAATTGGGGGGACCGAACCCCAGGGTTTGCACCCAGAGTGGATTTTCTCCAGGGCACTGGGGAGTTCACGACAGCGCATGGCACATCGCCCGCTGCTATCCCTGCCCGTCCCTCCCTGGCACAGGGGTGCACGGGGGCAGGCTGACCCCCAGAAGGACAGTGCAGGGCTGGGGGCCACCCTGGGGACCACAGAGCTGGTGCTGTGTTGTGCCACCACCCCCTTACTTCGCCATGCAGGACTGGAGAAGACGGGTCCACCCAAACCCTGCAGACAGCCCTTACCCAAGCCAGGAGGTTCTCACGGGGGCCCGTGAAGTAGATGTTCTTCAGAGGGCGTGAAGAGTTGTGAGCCCGGCTGTGGAGGTACTGGTAGAGCCCCAAGAGCCTTTCCTTCTCCTCCTCCCGCACGTAGGGTGCCTCAATCTCTGGGCTGCAGGAACACAGTACCCTGTTAGCCCCCCTGGAGAAGGGGATTTGTGGAGAAGGGTTGCCCGATGCCCCACGCCACAGACTTGGTCTGACGGTTTCCCGAGGGCCTCACCTGGTGAAGAGCCCAGAGCTCTTGGACTTGTAGATGAAGTGCCGGAGGTCGGGGATGCCCACCTGGGCGACGCTATAGAAGGGGGTGCGCAGGGCCTCCTGCAGAGCGTGGTGTACCCCCCGCCGCCGCAGGCGCTCCTGGAAGCGCCGCTTACAGTCGGAGACAGTGAAGAAGTCCTCGCGGTCGGTGGAGACCAGCAGGAGGCACAGGTCCATCTCCTGCTCCAGGTAGGAGATGTGGGCATGGAAGAAGCCACTGGAGTTGAACTTGGGGAGGCAAATGGGAGTCCAGGCTTCACCCTCCCGGAAGGAGGAAGAAGAGCTGATGAGGTTGAAGAGCAGATGGAGGTCAATGGGGTGGAGGAACTGATCCTTCTTCCTCACAAGAGACACTAGCTGGTTCCCTGACAGGAGGATGGAGAAGACCAGGCTCTTGGCCTTGGCCTGCTGGAGGCTGGTGCTGACAGCGTCCCGAACGCTGGCGGCCAGGGGCAGGCAGCGCACGGCACCCATGAGGAAGCTGGGGTCGTGGGCCATGAGGTCCAGCAGGTTGTCGGTGATGCGCTCGGAGCCAGCCAGGAGCCTGCGCAGGTCATAGTTCTGCTTCTGCTGGAAGATGTGGTTGAGCTGGGTCCAGGTGAGCAGGCTCAGGATCTGGTAGTAGATGTAGAGCAGCTCGTGGGCAATCTCCTGCTCTGACTGCCGGGTCCGCGCCACTGCCACCAGCACCAGTGGGCTCCTCCGCACGAAGACCACCTTGTAGCCATCTGCTTGGGAGGGAGTCCCCAGGGGTGCCGGGGACAGACCTGTAAGCCTGGCTCCCTGGGGCTGCAAGGGGAACCCAGGCTGCAGCCTCCCTCCCAGCAACCAATCTGCCCCTGGGGACAGCTAACGTGGCCCACAGTGGCAGGGGCACAGCCAGACCGGCCGTG